ATCAACCGCGCTCACTGGGGGTGTGCACAGGCTCCGGAGGGGCTTCTACAGCCCAAGTGCTATCATAACATTAGTATAACCGTTGCGGCGTGCAGCCCGATCCCATAATTTTCACTCATAATCAGGCTCTCGGCCTCACTAAGTCATCAATCATTCCAATCTGACTCACGGGCTCAAAATATCATGAAAACTAGCGGGAAACAATAATATGATGAATCAATAAATATCAACTGAGACTGAGATATGATATGAAATGAATGTATATGACTGAGTACGAAATATCAATAAAATCAGTTTAGTGACAGCAACAAAATGACCACTATGGGCCCCTACAGTACCGCCATAAAGCCTAAACATGATATCTAGCATGATTAACAGCTCAATTACATTATCACATGATGAAAATACGGATATCAACAAGATAGTATCACTGTATAGTGCCATGGAATCAACCAGGTCACAATTCTCACGGTTCACGCCCGCACGCCCGCACGCCCGTCAATTGGCATGTGCGTCACCTCAACACCAATCATATAACACATAATTCGGGGTTTCGAACCCTCGGAACCAAGTTTGAAAATGTTACTTACCTCAATCCGAGTAAAATTCTACTGCAAAATGCCTTTGCCTCTCAAACCGGTCTCCAAACCTCCCGAATCTAGCCACAAGTAGTACAATACAATCAATATAGGTTAAAGGGATCAATTCCACAAGAAAAGTATTAAATTATAGCCAAAAATTCGAAATCGGCTCAAACGCGGGACGCAAGCCCACGTCTCGAAATCCAAAAAAATTCACAAAACCCGAAAGCCTATTCACTCACGAGTCTAGCCATACCAAATTTACCGAAATCCAATTACAAAATCCCATTCAAAACCTCAAGAATCTAACTCAAGAACTCTTCATCTTTTTCACCAATTTTCCACCCCAAATCACAAATTAGATGATAGAATTATTGGCATAATCATGGAATTTAGCTAAAACGTAGTAAGAATCACTTACCCCAATCAACTCCTTCAAAATCCCTTTAAGAACCGTCCAAATCCGTGGCTTCTAGCTCAAAGTACGAAGAATGGGTTCAAATCCTCGTTTTTGAAATTTAACACTGCTACCCAGTTATCTTTCATCGCGAACACGGCCTCTCACTCGCGTTCGCGTAGACCAATCTTCCTGGATCTCGATTTAACACTTCGCGAACGCGAAGCTTTGCCAACTCCACTCTTCGCGAACACGACCCCTGCCACGCGAACGCGTAGACCAAATGGCTGGGGTCCGCAGCTGCCTCACTCCTCTTCGCGAAGTTACTTCTCGCTTTGCGATGCCTCCGCTGACCACACCTTCGCGAACGCGGGCTCCTCAATGCGAACGCGAAGAACAAACTTCCATCAGCCTCCAAGAACACTTCGTGAACGCGAGACTTCCCTCGTGAACGCATAAGAGGAAACCAACAACTTCAGCTATCAACCTAAGTCCAAAATGATCCCCTAACCATCCTAAATCAACCCGAGATTGTGAACTCAACCAAACATATCATCATATCCCAAAATATCGTACGAACTTAGTCGAACCCTCAAATCACCTCAAACAATATCAAAAATACGAATTACACACGGATTCAAGCCTAATGAACTTTGAAATTTCCAAATTCTACAAACGATGCCGAAACCTATCAAATCACATCCGATTGACCTCAAATTTTGCACACAAGTCATAAATGACACCACAAACCTACTCCAACTTCCTAAAATCCGATCCGACCCCGATATTAGTCCACCCTCGATCAAATTTTTCAAAATTCCAACTTTCGCCAATTCAAGCCTAATTCTACCACGGGCCTCCAAATCACAATCCGGACACGCTCCTAAGTGCAAAATCACCTAACGGAGATAACAGAACCATCTAAATTAAAATCCGAGGTCGTTTGCACATAAGCTGACATCCGGTTAACTTTTCCAACTTAAGCTTTCAATTAAGAGACTAAGTGTCTCAATTCACTCCGAAATCACTCCGGACCCGAACTAACCAACCCTGTAATTCATATAACAGTTGTAGAACACAAAAGGAGCAGTAAATGGGGGAACAGAGCTACAACTCTCAAAACAATCGGCCGGGCCGTTACAATATAATGCATAAACAAGGCTGAATAACAAATACCCAATCATAAACAATCATTAGTATTAACTACCCATAAGTTTTACACACTAGGGTTGAGTCACAACCCTAGATAAAATCTAGCTACTCATATTAATTGACGTAGAAAAATAAAGAGAAGAAGTAATTGAAGACATAAAACTAGAATTAAAGTGTAAAATTAATGGGTTTTCTCTAAATGTTGCTCAAATTATCCCAAAATAGATAAATATAATCGCTAGCTGCTGCAATAGTACATATGTTGCCCCAAAAAAGTATTTCCCGTCTATTTATAGTGTCCAGAATTTCACTGACAAAAATATCCCTAGGGAGGTTCTGAGACCGCACAATTCCATGTGCAGACCATACTTTTCTTCTGCTCTTGCATTGGAAGGAAATCTATAGTCACACAGTTATCTCTGCAGCTGAACTTCAGCTTCTGCGGCCGCACAATTATCTCTGCAGCTGCACTTTCAAGAGGCTTCGCACTTGGTCTTCTGCACCTTCTCTGATCTTATCAGGCTGTGCGACCAGCTTATGTGGCCGCACAATTTGGTAAGCGCTTCTGCTAAACTCCTCTGAGGCTTCAAGGGATCATCTGCTTTGCATTTTCCTTTTTGAGTTAGATTTCTTCATTAAGCTCCAAATCTCCAACATGCGTGCAATTCACACAATTTTATTAGATTTGAAAACAAAAATCACTACTTTCGGACTACAACAAAAGCAAGAAGGTACTAATTAGCAGCACTGTTATACGACGAACCTACTCTCCATGATTGGCGTAATTTGTGGAGATCTTCCTTATTAGCATTGTTATACGATGAACCCACTCCCCATGGCTGGCGTAATTTGTGAAGGTGACCTTCGGTTGGTGACTGATGCCATGAACCCACTCCAAATGGTAGGGGCATTCTGGTGTTTCTGTTTTCATTATTGGCAGATTTCAATGCCAACAAAAACGAAAACAGGTGTTAGTAATAATTCAAACTAGATCTTTATTTGTCTAGAAATTAAGAACTTACATTATTGGTATCGAGCTTGGTGGCAAATCATTACTCTACTACAGAGTTTGTTTCTCATTGTCCATACAACAAGGCAGAAGATCATATGGGTTTGCTTTTTCAAACTAACTGAGACATTAAGAAGTATCTAATTCGTTAGATAGTATACATTACAAAGTAGGATAAATAACAGGTTACACTGAAATGTAACGATAGTATAACAATTTCTTATGCTCTCTTATATAAGCTAATCCTTTTCCTAATAGTTTCCCTTCCCGAATCTGTATATGTGTGTGATGACCCGATAGATCATCTTATGAATTAAAACCAAATTCTGTGTTCCGAGGTCCTAAAAACCTCATTTTATCCCTCCTCGGTTTGCGTGCATAGTCTCGGCGTGTTTTCAAAAATCTTTTATGTTGAAAGTTGATAAAAACAAGAATTTTTGCTTAAATAGCAGCCCTTTAAAGTCTTGAATGATTAAAGACATTCATATGTACGGAAATTGATTAATGCACCAGCTATGTGAACAACAACAATAATAATAATAATAATAATAATAATAATAATAATAAAATAAATAATTATCGTCATTGTCATATTGTCATCGTAATCATTGTCATAATAGGAAAAAGGATTAAATCAGTAGAGTTAAGGACTAATTACTACAGTAGCGTAGAGTTTAGTACAAGGCGGCGCAAAATGAAAATAACCATGTAAGAACAGTGAGTTGTTTGCGAAATAATGATCATTTTTAGTAGAATGAACATTGTAGCATATTTATCTCTTTCTTCGTTTCATCCTCTTTATATAGTTGAGTTCTCATGCTTAATCCTATTTCTAGCCGTTAGGAGATCTAGGCGTAATTTGAATCTTCTTTTGAGTTCTCATGCTTAATCCTATTTCTATCCTTTAGTCTGCCAGTTGTTGATTCACTTGACTTTAATTTGAATTTCCTATGGTGTGCCTTATGAGAATATGGTTGAATTTTCAATAGTGATTCTACACATGAATAACTCAGTTTTGAAGTCTTGCTTGGATAAGTTAGCAGTCAGTTCTCAAAGGTTGGAGCCTAGGATACACGATATGGAAATTAAAATACAAGATGGCATTAAACATATACGTATATATATAATTAATGCTAATTGTTAACTACAGCGAATTGGACCAAAGCCTAGCTATCCTTGTTAATCTTAGAACTAATTAACTAAACGATCAAAGTCAAATATGTATCATTAAAAATAATATCCCACGCAACAACAGCTTATATTGCTTTAATTACTAGCTTATAATATGACTCCTAGCACATGCACATCTTGTGTAATTACATTACTAGCTATCTCCAGGCAGTAACAAATCTTGAGATTTACATTTGAGTTATATAAGATGAAAGGACCATTAGACGAACATGGAAACACTGTCATCTAACGAAAAATTTATGAAGCAACATGCTTAGGGTTTCATGAGGAAGAGGACCCTTTATCTTCCACCACTAAGATAGCTTGAACAAAGTAGTTAGAAAAACAGTAACTTTCAGTAACACACACATACATATAATAAGGAATCTATATTAATGAGGATTTAAAGATTAATGAGGAATCGATCAAATGGTTTAAATTTTACGATTGATCAAGTTATAAATATATGAGGTGGTTAAGCAACTAAGTTAATAATTTATTATATTTTTTTCTTCGTATTTTCCGCGCATTGCGCGGGTACTATACTAGTACATATAAAAATACCAAATATTTCCATTAACACACGCACACATACATCATACTTAACAAAACGTGATTAACAAAGTAACCTGCATGATCACGACATACATTATTACGTAAAGTTTTGTGACTATTTCATAAAATGACTGAATCAGTTTTCAGCCACTTGAGTTGCGTCTTGAGCAGGAACGACGGCAACCTGATCGTCCAAAATGAAATGGCAAAACGGCTTACCGCCGGGCTTAATGTTGAGCAATTGAAAAGGCAATGCCTTAGGGTTCATGGCTGCAGTATTCTCATGGCAGATTGATACTGCATTAACTTTTGTACCATCAGCACCCACCATTGACACCTTAAAGGTCCTGCTGTTTCCAAAATCATGGCAGACATGTACCGCATATGGGTAAGCCGCTTTGTGACATACAATTCCTTTGCCATTTGTTTTCTCTTTCACTTCTTCGATGATATATGTTTGCGCCTCTGGAGTTTCCTTTTCTACCTCGGTTGACATTGCTAAAATGTTGTTTGTTCCCAGGTGAGATGAGATGAAATCAACCATTGATTCCAAAGAAGTGGCACAATATCTTGTCTCTCGGGTACCCGCTGGTTCCTCACATAATTTGACTATTTTCTCGATCATTTTAGCACCTTCTGAGTCCTTATCTACGGAAAATTAATTAAGAATTTCTCCAATTTTCTCCGATGAGAAGGGGATAGAATCTGCAACTTTGCGAGGCAAAATAGGAGCTGGGTTGTAGTTTTTGAGGGACAAAAAGATTCATCTTTTTCCCTTGATGCAAGTCTGTTTCAAAGAAGTAAGGGGTGACTAGGTCATTTTCATTAACATCTTTCTTAGTAGCACCTTGATACATCAACCCCCATGGCTGGCGTAACTTGTGAAGCTCACCCTCGGTGGCTGGTTGATACATCAACCCCCATAGTTGACATAACTTGTGAAGCTCATCCTTGGTGGCTGGTTAATACATCAAACCCCACGGCTGGCGTAATTTGTGAAGCTCACCCTCGGTGGCTGGTTGATACATCAACCCCCAAGGCTGGCGCAATTTTTGAAGCTCACCCTCGGTGGCTGGTTGATACATCAACCCCCATGGCCGGCGTAACTTGTGAAGCTCACCCTCGGTGGCTGGTTGATACATCAACCCCCAAGGCTGGCGTAATTTTTGAAGCTCGCCCTTGGTGGCTGGTTGATACATCAAACCCCATGGTTGGCGTAATTTGCGAAGCTCGCCCTCAGTGGCTAGTTGATACATCAAACCCCACGGTTGGCGTAATTTGTGAAGCTCATCCTCAGTGGCCGGTTGATACATCAAACCCCATGGCTGGCGTAATTTGTGAAGCTCACCCTTGGTGGCAGGTTGATACATCAAACCCCACGGCTGGCGTAATTTGTGAATCTCACCCTCAGTGGCTGGTTGATACATCAACCCCCATGGCTGGCGTAGTTTGTGAAGCTCACCCTCGGTGGCTATCAAACCCCATGGCTGGCGTAATTTGTGAAGCTCACCCTCAGTGGTTGGTTGATACATCAACCCCCACGGCTGGCGTAGTTTGTGAAGCTCACCCTCGGTGGCTGATTGATACATCAACCCCCATGGCTGGCGTAATTTGTGAAACTCACCCTCGACTATGTGCATGAATAATGAAAGACATTCATACGTAAATTGGTAAATGCACCAGCTATGTGATATAAAGTAGTAGTAATAATAATAACAACAACAACAACAACAACAACAACAATAACAATAATAATAATAATAATAATAATAATAATAATAATAAAAAAATAACAACAACAACAACAAAAACAATTATAATAATAATAATAATAATAATAATAATAATAATAATAGTTTCCATTGTCCTCGACATAAAAAGAAAATATATAATAGTAATTAGTATATAGCTATCATAGTAATGATTATGACAATAATGACAATGTCAATGATGATAAAATTGGTCTTGAAAAGCATTAGTCTTGCTTCTGAAAGTGCAACATGCTGTTAAACATGAAAATACTGAGGAATAGACCCGTCCTTTAGTTCTCGTCAAAGGATTAGTCATTAAGACTTTAATCATGTGTTTGATAGTTCAATAAATTAATTGAGCTGAAGGCTAATTACCTGCAGAATAGTGTGTTAGGGCATCCTTAATGGGTTTGGGCATGGGAGTGTTGGGCAGTTTGACTTTCCAATAGACCTCAGGAGATAAATTAGCTGCATGACTTGCTATAAAAGCAAGCTTAAATACATGAACAAGATAAAAAAAAAAATGTTCATCAGCCTCTTAAGCATTTTTCATAATACATTCATACAAAGATAGAAAAGAATGTTTTACTCACAGAAAGTAGTAGGAAATGAAACTCCATTGATGTTGTAACTGAACTAAATAGAATTGGAAAAAGGATTCAGAGCTAGGCTCACGAGGAACTCTAAAGCAAAATGCTGTCCTATTTATAGAGCAAAGGAAGGGCTCACTTGGAAATGTGAAATAAATAAAAGTTATACTTCGTAGTTATCCAATCTTAATAATATTTGAGAGATGTCCTTTTAAGAGCTGAAATGTTTTCTCTTAAAAGATTGTCCTAGTTTACTTGTGAAGAGTTAGTTTAAGTAATTCTGATTTGTTGGAAAATCAATTCAAAATTATAGTAGGAAATCAAAATTATTTAAATTTTAATATTTGTTTCTCCTTCCGTTTCAATTTAGATGAGGTAGTTTGACTCGGCACGGAGTTTCAGAAAAAAAAAGAAGACTTTTGAAACTTGTGGTCTTAAAAGTTTAAGGGGTAAAAGCTTGTAGGGTGATGATATTTGTGTGGTTATAAAAGCTTCTCATTAAGGGTAAAATGAGTAAAACGAAGAGTTTAAAGTTGAATTATTTCTAAATTAGAAATGTGTCATTTATTTTTGAACGGACTAAAAAGAAAAGTAGCTCATCTAATTTGAAACGCAGGGAGTAGTTTATTTAACTCATGTATAATTAGGATTCATAGCAAATTAATATAGGAATAGATTTTCCTACTTCTAGCTAAAATAAATTTCGTACTATTATAAATAGAGGTAATTGCTAGCTTATTTTAAGTGTGGAGGAGTGATAAAAAAATTATATGAAGATTTATGGAGAATTGTAGAGAGCGTTCGAAAATTTATGATAAAGTATTTTTTCTTCATATTGGTATCAGATCCTCTGTGATTTTGATAAAGAATCAAATAGCTTTCGTTATCCGCAGGTGGCTCTAGCCATCTTTGCAGCCCGTCTGATCGTGAATTATGTTGGTAAAATCATAGATAATCTTTATAAAATTAAATTGTTCGGGTGAAAAGTTTCAAGACAAATTCAAAGAAAAAATAGCAAGTTTAAAGAGGTGCAAGCAAACATGGCGTAAGAGCAAAAAACTCTTCTCTAAAAGTTAGAAAGATGTTAAAAAGATTGAAAGTTGATTAAAAGTGAATCAACAATGGAAGGTGGAGACAGGTGATTCAACAAAATTAGATGTTGATGACACATTAATGGGAGTTGGAGACAATTGTTCAACCAAATTGGGTGTTAGGTATTGATGACAAAGTACATCAACGGGACTTGGAGACAAGTGCTCCAACAAAAGTGAAGGTTGGGGAGAAGTGCTCCGATATAACAACAACAAAAAAGTGAGATGCATATAATTTTGTTTTATGGGAAAATATTTGAAAACTAATTCTAAGTTGTAGTAGGAAACAAAAATTATTTAAGATTTAGTTATTGTTAGTTTATTTAATTCATATCTAATTGGGATTTATATTTATATCTATATTTATATTATTATAAAATCATAAATTTTCAAATACTAAATATTAAACGATAAAAATATTCCCAAAATATTGATTGACGTATCTACCATTTAATACTAAGTTATTCTTTTAAACAAATGATTTTATTTTGGATAAAATCGTGATTCCCATATTTAGCACTTCAATATTCAGTAGTAGTTAATACGTCAAAACCAAATTAGTCACCTTTACCGTGTAACACGTCCAAGCTTTCAAAGCCTACAAATCCTCGTTTGAAGTTATCGTGTGTGTTTTTATGAAAACTAATGATCATTTGTCGATTATCTTTTTCCCTTCAATAGGTTCAAGGTATTCGTTGTTTCTTTTTTGAAGGTTAAAGATATTATATTAATACTTATAATAACAATATTCCACGATGCTATCTTAGGGAACGTGTCCCATTGATCCACCGTGAGTACATATTTGTTCCATGCCGCCTAGGGCATTATCATTACCTAGTGAAGCCAATATATTACATGCCGACAAACTACATGTCCGGAAACTATTACAACCATCCTTGTCCTTAAAATACACATTTAGAGCAAAATTAGGAGGTTCCGCAAAATAGCTAGTTATATTATAGCTAGGTTGAAGTAGTGCTTCCTTGGCCAAATGGTGTGCCACCCTGTTGCCCTCTCGAAAATTATGCTTCATTCGGATCTCCCCCCTCTCCATTAGCTTCTCCATTAAGTACCTGCATTCATAAAGTAAAGTGTTGTAAGTAGGATAATCCTCTTCTAAGAATTGTATTACCTCAGTAGCATCCGTCTCAATTTCACATGGAGTGAAATTTCCCTTCATCATTGTTTGCAAAGCTTGTCGAAAAGCTAGCAACTCTGCATGGATTGGTGATATACTTTCACACTTTGTGTAGAAACCCAGCATCTATTCTCCCTTGTTGTTTCTTATGACTCCACTGATGCCTCCATGCAAGTGCTCTTCGTTGAAAGCACCATCGATATTAATCTTGTACCAATCCTTATGAGGTGGATGCCACTTGACCTTGACTTTAATGGATGTATTACTAGTAATGTGTGGAGTAGCTAATAAAAAATATTCCAGAGCATGGTTAAACATTTTTGTGGTGTTTATTTTATTACCGGTGTTGTTAATATTATTCTCATTTCTAGTTTTCCATATTGTCCATAATGCAAACGGAAAAACTTCTTCCCAATTGATGAGATTGTTTGGTATGTTAGGAGCTTTTTTTCTTAGGAAATCCACCCAATGCTCTTGTGGCAGAGGGTTGTTTAAAGGAACACCTATAGATATCCAGAAAAGCTTTGCCACTTTACAATCCCAAAAAATGTGGAGAATAGATTCATTAGTTCTACAAATAGGGCATTTTGTGTCTATGTTAACACCTATTTTCCCTAAGTAATCTCTAGTAGGAAGTCTTGAGTGGTAACACTTCCATATAAAAAACTTAATTTTTCTAGGACATTTTAAACTCCATATCCATGCAAAATCATTTCCAGTATAGTTATGCTTGTTAATTAATTTATAGCAAGAGGAGGTTGTGAATATCCCACTAGTGTTTATAGACCAATACATGTTCTAGATTGATTGTTGGACGAGGTTAGTGAGTGGATGCTATTCAGGATATTGTTTGGAAGTTCAAAAGAAATGTGAGACATGTCCCATGAATTATGATTTTTATGTCTTTTAATGTCAGCTCACTTTCTTTTTTATTGAGAGGGCCTATAACATTATCCCTTAATTTTCCAAACTTAGGGATCCAGTTTGTATCCCAAATGGACATGTTGGGATTGCTTCCCACTGGCCATCTTATACCCTCTCTACAATAATTCCAA